CTATCAGCAACTAACAGCCTCGCATGTTCTTACATTTTTGTTAAAGGAAGGGGAGATGTAATGTTTAATTCTGCTAATTAGCCTAACCACTCTGTTGAGACGGTCAAACTATACCGTGCCGGGAGTGCGTGCGTGAAGCAGGGGCGTGGGGCTAAGGAATGGAAATGGAGTATTAGAATAAAGGTTACTTCTGGAATATATATAACGTGTTTGTCCTCACTGAAGTTATAGGCATAACTTTACAGTGACCTACCATTTTTATGGCTTTATTGAAAGGACCATGCAAAGAGTAAAGGGTCGGATAACCTTTTGACGCCCTCAAGAGGAAGAGTTAAACAGTTGATTTGTTTGAGCTGAGATTAAAATTAGTTTCCTCCCATCTCACTGCACGTTGTCCTTATAAAGGATATTTTGAAAATACGCTCCAAATTTGTTGAACCATTCTCCGATGTTGTTGACAGTGTTCGTCCCAAATCCCCAAGCAACCAGTGCAGCCGGTGCTGCGTACCAGCGGGTACCTGGCGCAGCAAAGATAAAAACATGTGACGTCCCGTCACCTTCAGGCTATCTTGTTTGGACAAGACGCGGCGTTTGCGACCCAGAATGCCAGTTTTCTCGACCTCACTTTCTTGTCGCGTTTTAAGGCAAACAGCGCAGTGAAAATGGGAGGCAACTAGAGTTTTATATTTTGTCATAAGGTAGTAGTGATTATGCATGACATCGAAGTATTTGCTATCTAAGTACGTGGAAGAAATTAGCGTTTGACTGCGCATTGTGGTTGCTATTACAACAAAAAGGGTGTGTGCTATCCCCCGGCGGTGAGGGAGGGTCAGCGTGATACAGTTTGACGGTATAACTCAAAAATCATATAATCACCGGTAACCCTAACTGCAACACCCCAACGCTAACCATAACACAATATATATTTCGACGCTTATATTATATGTACCAAAATTCCACAAAAATTATACTATGGTGTGGGGACAGATAGTATGATGCAAAAACCCTCTACCCTAACCCAATCTCTAACCCTAATCGCTAACACTAGTAGCTGCGCCAACGTTGCGGTCACCTCCATGTACACGCCCGGGACAGCAATTACCCGTTAACAGGACGTGAGAACATGCTCTTTGCTAATTAATTAGACCAACCTGTGTGGAGCGTACAGTTATGCACAGTATTTAATTGCAGAAAGGCAAATGTTTTGAACCAAATGGTTTTACGCTCCTGTAATCATGATTATTTTCTAAAGCAGTCTGTCTGATAGCACCAACCCTGAAGGCTGAAAATCAGTGAATGCCCCTCGCGTGGGTAGTCAAAAACACCGGGGCAGCCCATGGCTCCACTCTACCTTAATCATAAATTGTTCGGCTGCCAACCTGCAATGCAATGTGTTAACACCGCTCACAGCTGAGCCGCGGCCAAAATGTAATCGCCCTGCCCTGAATATAACTTGCTTGGAATATTTAGCGCTGTAGGATCTCAGCAACTCCCCCAGGTGAGTGCTATTAAAGGTATCCTCAAGAAGGGCAGAAATCCCCAAGCTTTGATTATTGATTGTACACTGGCATGCGCCATCTCGCGGCAACTATAGTGCCGTAGTTTAAATTAATATTTTTTATTCATTTCATGTAGACTATGTTAAAACGAATAAATAATAACTGTTACCGCATATAATATATATTTACTTTTCAATACTTGAATAATTAACATATATCATGTAGCTAATGGCCGTGCGTATCCATTTACGCAGTTAGCGAACATAAAGCTATTACCATAGAAATTATTAGAGATGCACGACGCCTCCGCCCTATATCATAATTATATTTCTATGGCTGTTTACACTACAGGGCATAGGAAAGCGGCATTCAATCGCTGGTTATTTGTCGTATTTTAATTTATATAATTAAGAGAGGAGAGAAAGTCTAAGATAAAAGAGGAGAGAAGAGAGTAGTAAATTGGAGGAACGGGGACAAGAGAAAACGTGATAGCGGTGTTGTATCGAGCGGGATAACGGGTACAGAAATTAGGGCCATGGGGCGAAAGATGGTGTGCAAGGAGATGGAGGAAGGGGAGAACAGGGGAGAGGCAGTTCGAAAGCGCAGGGGAGGGAGATGTAGGTAAGGGGGTTAGGAAGTGGGAAGGAGGGAGAGGAGTGAAGTGGGAGGCAGGGGAGGAAGGTGAGAAGGCAGGCAGGAGGGTAGGGAGGTGGACGGCAGCTGGGGGAAGGGAGGTGGAGAGAAGACCCCGCCCCCGCCACCAATACTAAATCTAAACTTAGGAAGATCCAATGCCATATGTTAGAAATCTTTTGAGTAGTCAACGTCAATAGCCATTTCATATAACTTGTATTATGAAATTGTTAGTATTATTGTTCTGTTATGGTAGAAATTAACCCATAGACGATAGGTGGGTGCGAAAGTGTAGCTGATAATATGTTCGAATTGGCTACGAAAGTCAAACAAAAATAAAGAAGACTATGTTAAAGACGTCTTGCTATGCAACATAATGCAAATTTATCAGCAGAACACGCAACAGCACGGCAGAATAGAGCCCTGGTCCACTGCGGCCACTTGTTATAAAGATATATTCTATTTTGCTAAACAAACAACGCCTCTTTAATATGCCCGGATGACAACACCGCTTCCTCCATCATTGTCATCAGAGTTCGAGCCGCTAAAAGACAAACATCTGTGAAAAACAGAAAAGCCGTGACACTAGTCATATGGTTCTCTCCGACAAACATCAGATGGAACACAATCCAGAGAAATTCCCAACTCATGGGTGTCGGGAAACACACATTTGAAAAGAAAACCAGTATTTTTAATGTACCAACAGGAATAGTGTAACCGATGTGTAATATTTTTTATTAAATCTTTGAACAAACTTGCATGTATGTAAAAATGTGCAAAAAGGCCTCCAACAGTCAAAAATTAAATGTTCTGGAAGCGTATAAGGGAAGATTGTGTTAATCATTGGAAAGGACCGGACAGGTCCTGTGTATCGACATGCTTTCTAATCATGTCATAATTTTAATTGTTGTCGTCAATATGATATGAGCTGGCATCTTTTGTAAAAAAAGCAGAATACAGACCAAAGCGTTGAAAAGACTCCATTGTAGGGCATGAAATTTGTAATACCAGGAAACATGTGACAGCTCATATGCAGGAAGCTTTTACATAAAAATAAAAACATTTTCCCCTGCACGCTTTGGGCGTCTCCAAAACATGCCACAAGGACTTTTAAAATTATTCACATGAGACAGTGCCCATCCAGTTATTTAAATGATTTTATCCAGGCGATGCCGGAAATCTGCGTACCTCCTTTAGAATAGCAGAATGTTCTTAACGCCCACACCAATATACCAGACCTGGTGACATATGCACAAATAGTTTAGAAGACATATAGCTGCAAAGGTGTGGAAACCGGTCCTTGCCAGAAAAATGCCAGTATGTTTGAACGAGTTTAAAATTGTCATCATAACATCGGAATGTTTTTGCACTGTGCAATATGTGCAATGTGCAGATAATGATCTGCTAAATTTGCAGTATGTTTTAAGTAAATTTTGTAAACATCTGTATCAGTCTGTTTGCTATAAAATTTTAAATATGCCATGTATTATATCTTAAGATTTAATTCATGGTACTCGAATGCCTGTATATGATGCATGTTTAAAATAATTGATTATTCTACTCGTTTTAATTATCTGGTCTACTTATGTTAGTTGTCGATGCCTTAAAAACTCACACACAGCTATGTTCTCATGTGTAAACATACCGACCTTTAAAATAAAGATTACTTGAACTTGAACTTGAATAATTAAAAAATTATAATTAACTAGTGAACCTTTGTTTGATGCAAATTTTTGAGCAGAATGAATCAGACTGAAATTGTGTGACTAGCAATGTATGCCAATTGAAACAATGGCAGAAGCCTTGCCATCTATGCACATCATCTCGGTAAATTGTCAAAGTGAGACTGCAGATTGTGCGACCCGTCAACGTTGTGTTTCCTTTGACTGACCTTACTCCTGTAGTCATTCCATGCCTGCACTGCCCTCTGGTGGTTACTCTCCACGTGTTCTCTGGCCATCGAGGAAACTGCTTAGTAACAGATCGCTCTGCCACAGGGGTAAGCGCTATGAAACTTGCTTGCAATTGCTAACCGAAGTCTCGCTTAGAGAATCACAAAAAAATGATTTTATAAACGTTTATCAATTGACAATGTGCCTTTAAATAGCAAAACACTAGTAGTAGTCCAGTGAAGTAATGTGACACAGAGTACGTATGGAAACTAGAGACAATGAATATATTTAACTGTCTCAGTCTATTAATGTTACTTTATAGCAACTAGAAAGGTGCAAGTTGTCAGCCAACTACATGTATCCTCCCGTGATCTAGGTAATAATGAAACATATCTCAAGTACAAGCGACGTAGACCATGGTAGGTAAAGTTAAAAATAAGTTCACAAAACAAAGTTTGTTACATCACAACACTCATACTGCCAGATGTGCCAAGTATGTTGAAAATTAGTTTTGCACTAGGGGTTTTGTCAGCGCGACACACTACCTCCCCACAAGATGTGTAAGTACACAAAGTTTGCTCGGCGCTAGGCTACAATTATGGGCCGAAGTTATAGAGCGGAAGAGAAATATTGATCGAAGGTCAAGGTGCAAGGTCAATGTGCAAATAAAGGCTTGCAGTGACGCTGGTTTCGGTACGCCGACACACCTTCCTGCCCCCAAAGATGTGTAAAGCTATACCAAGTTTGGGTACGCCCCCAAGTTTGGTCGCGCTAGGTCAATTAGGGGCAGAGTTATACAGCGGAAATAAAATATGATCAAGGTCAAGGTCAAATAAAAGCTGCAGTGACGTGGTTTTGGTACGCGACACATATTCTCCCCAAGATGTGTATGTATACTAAGTTTTGTAGCGCTAGGTCAATTAGGGGCCGAATTATAGAGCGGAAGGGAAATATGATTAAGGTCAATGTCAAGGTCAAATAAAGGTCGCAGTGACCTGGTTTTGGTACGCGACACACCTTCTCCCCAAGATGTGTAAGTATAGCATGTTTGGTAGCGCTAGGTCAATTAGGGGCCGAGTTATAGAGCGGAAAGGAAATATGATCAAGGTCAAGGTAATGGTCAAATAAAGTCGTAGTGACCTGGTTTTGGTATGCTGCGCACCTTCTCCCCAAGATGTGTAAGTAGACTATGTTTGGTCACGCTAGGTCAATTAGGGGTCGAGCTATAGAGCGGAAGGGAGTGTCTGCGGCGGCGGCGGCGGCTGGACAGACATGAAACCATAGTATCCCCGCCGACTTTGTCGCGGGGGATGCAATTAGTGGGTAATAGCTATAAGGAGTTGCTTACATTTTCTGGCCGAGCCTACCTCAAACGTTTCATACTTTCGCTGCAATTTATCAGCAATATCTAAGTCTGCACTGAGATCTTCTGATGCAAGTATTGCCTCCTTCTCCTCAATCCAATCGATAGTATCCTCAACATCATGATCAAATACATGAATCTTCTCTGCTCCTTGAAGTGCCTAAAAACAGAAATGCAAGCGATTACACAATGTCTGCTAGATTTGTACGTTATTTTTTAGCTGAACCTTATTGTAGCGACCAATATTACACTCGAAAGCATATTCTAACTATATTCTATAAAACTATATTGTATTAAGAATAGATGCTGCCACGAGCAGGAATCGTGACCACAGGTGTCGATGGCAAGAGTCGTGTCGCACGCTCGAGCTCGTGACGCGGGGTGTCATGTATGTCGCGTATGTCATGTATGCCATGTATGCACGATGCGTAGAAGCAGATGAAAGAAAGATAAATAAGGCTTGTGCGTCCATGTCGGGAGGGGTTCGGGAAGTTCGGACGGAACCCGGTCACTTGAAAGTGTGAATCTACGTTCGACGTTACAGTCAATAAAGCTGCACAGTACTATCTACTTTTGCTCTTCGCCTTTGGTTATTTACTCCCTTGGCTACTTTCCTACCCTTCTCCCTTCACGCCTGTGTGTAGCGTCAAACGTATCATTACATTATTTTTATTATACATTTAGTAAATTGGTGTATTACTTTATCAGAAGCAAAGATGTTAATTATATCTATGCTATATAATATGTGGCACTAACAGTAATACGATTCCCTGTGCCCAGTACCTTGAGTCTCTCATTTGCGGTTTCTAACATGGCCTTCCACTTGTCATCAAGCTGGGCGCAACGGGCATTGACAACATCTGCCTGCGGATGACCTAACTCGGATATCTCAGTCCCAAGATTCTTCACCTCCTCCTGTCTTGTCACAAAGTTGTTCAGGCTCAGCATAAACAATTCATGCTTCTTCTGTAAGGTCTATCAGAGAACGTGTATATTAGATGCTGAAAAATTATTCGAAGATTAAAAGAACATCGACAATACATGCACAAGTGCATATATGTGTGCGTGTGTGTGCGTGCGTGTGCGTGCATGCGTGTGTGTGCGCGTGTATGGATATGAATGCGCAAGTGCGTCTGAAAGCTTCCTGGTGCTAAGGTGTAAAAAAGAAGTACCTGCCAAAGGAATATTGAAGACTGTAACTCTCTCGTAGGATTTATACTATCTTATAGTGTTATGATTAGATTAGCTATCATATATTAATTATATCTAAAGGGAATATGCAATGTACAAGACTATTTCTTTAATATTTCCTGCTGAAACTCACCAGTACATGCTCGAGGTCAGTACCCATGTCGCGAGATGATGCCACTTGCTCTTTTTCTGTTATCCATTCCTCAAAGTCATCAGCCTCATGTTGGAATTTTAGCATCTGCATTTGACCTTGTAGTGCCTTTCTCTGGTTTTTAGACATAGACTTCAGTGCCTTGTAGCTTTCATCTATATCTTCCTATAAAAACAGACAGAGAGAATGACAGGGTGCGAAAGAGAGGGAGAGATGGCAATGGTTAGGAGAACAGCAACGAGAGACAGAGACAGACTGACATACATACAGACAGACAGACATACATATACAGACAGACAGGCACATAGACAGACAGACAGACAGACAGACAGACAAAGTAAGTGAGGGAAGACTGAGGGACGGGAGGGAGAAAAGTAGGGGGTAGGAAAGAGAGGGAGGGTGGGAGAGAGGAAGGGGACGGGATGGTGAGAGTGAGAGGAGGAATGGTGGGAGGAAGGGAGGAAGGAGACGGGATGGTGATAGGGAGAGGAGGAATGGTGGGAGGAAGGGAAGCAGGAATGGTTGGAGGGTGGGAAGGAGAGAGAATGAAAGTGTCAATGACACTGTAGCTCACCAAAAAAAAGGACACAAATGAGTGAGTAAGAAGAAGTCAGTTTTAATTGAGCAACCATCGACGTACATTATAGAAACGATTGCCATCTGTATATCGCAATAATAATTTATAAACCAAAATGAATCACAATTTGTGACCGTAGATGGCGCTATACCCGCTTTGTAGCGATGGCGTCTGAAATAAATAGGTTATGCTGCGTTCCGACATGTTTTGTAAAACTTTACTCTAATATAGACGTTTTATCGGCAGGGTGGAGAGGAAATACCAATTTTGCATTAAAGATATTGTCAATGAAATCTTGTAAAACAAACCAGACGAGTGTGACATCACAGACTGTTTGTGTCTATATAATATGCTATATAATTGCCAAACCCTACCTAATTTGCATAACCTTTTTTAAATATTAAAACGCCTAGCCCTTATTCATTCACATACCAAAAATGAGCAAAATCCGTTGAACCTGAACTGACTAATGGCAATTCTTATTTTTGCCAAAAAATCGCCGTGGCCCGAAAGTACGCGGACTGGCGTGCTCCAAAATAGGACGTTTAATATGGGAGCATAGCAGTAACAACTACACCCAATTTCAAACATGTGGGTCAAACGGTTCCTGAGTTATCGTTGACCGAAGCGAAATATTGACGGACAGACGAACGGACGGACGGACGTACGACGTACGACACCCATGGCAATAGCTCAGCTTGACGATGTCAAGGTGAGCTAAAAATGAGGAGAGGAAGAGCGCAATCGAGTGATGAGTGAGAGAGTATAGCATTCGTTTATGTATTACAGCAAATTGCCACATTTCCCAAATTAATCCAGAGATTTTGTTGAGCGCAACCTATTTCACGAAATATCTGCAACTCACCTGCTGTTTCTGTATTCGTTGCATATCAAAATGCTTTCTTTGCACTAGTCCATGGGTGAGAGCCTTTAGCTCTTTGATATTACTGCCATAATTTTCAATGTCCAGATCAAGTGTGCCAAGGTTTCCTAGCATCAGCTGTTAAAAAAGGGAGAATAATAAGATAAGCATATTTCTATAGCCTTACAATAGCAAGTGCCAAAAAGCAACAGTGCTCATCGGAGGACTGCTGCTCTGCCGATAAACTCTAAATTGCAGTCGTGCATAGTAACACTTATTTTAGTTCCAAATGTGTTCACATATGACCTGAAACATGAGAAGATGTGGGGATGGTATCTAGAGCATCGTAGAAATGGGGTACAATACACACTACGATAGTGCCATTGATTTCACAGGTGTATTCGAGTCTGATGGGCATGCAAAAACACTTGCTCGGTTGGGTTCAAGTTTTTTTTATGGACACAACACACAGGTGGGAAAAACCATAAATGATCTGGTCAGCTTACACAGCTGCCCCCTCCCCTCTAGCGCTGCACAAGAATCTGCCACGCTCAAGCTATGTACAGCACACACACACACACACACAAACACACATGCAGCAGGCCCGCATACACACGCACGCCGAACGCACGCACGCACGCACGCACGCACGCACGCACGCACGCACGCACACACACACACAAACGCACGCACGCACGCGTGCACACACACACACACACACACACACACACACACACACACACACACACACACACACACATCACACTATGGTGGGTAACTCGCCACCGGGTTTCGCCCAACTCATCATTTTCAATCAGCTCCAACTCTGGTGGCTGTTCTACCAGAGGTTCTGCAGGTGACGCGCGTCTCTTTCCAACTATCGCTGGAAACGCAGAAGACTGCTTAACAAGCTACACCAGTCAGTTTTGACAATTGGCCTGCCAAAATTCACTTAAATCACAGAAATTCCTCAAATATTGATGCAAAATGACGTTTTAAAGGGAGAGTTTACTCTAGGTTCTAGGGTTATTTTCAGCTAATTTAGGTTATAATTACGCTACATGAAAAGTTTCATGGTTCAATCCCAATTAGAAATATTTTTAAAAAACGATCTGAGAAGTTGCGCAAAATGACTTTTCAGCAAAGGGCTACAGACCGGGGGTGTTTCTTATTTATTCATTTAAAAGCAAAAGGATTGTAATATCTTATAAACGACATATAGTTTCAGTTATAATATGGATAAATTTGCCCTAAAATGAATATCGTTCGGTTAAATAGCATTTAGGTATAAATATAATTGTACTTTTGTGATTAGCCCTCGGTCTGTAACGTGCAAAATAAATTGTCAAATACGCAACTTTTTCGGGGTGGCAGCACGGTCGCAGGTGTCATGGCGCCGTTCAAATTTCGTAGCGTTGATGTGTAATTAATTATAACAATTAAATTAGGCATCTGGTAACAAATACGTGTGGGTATATAGACGATTTGTTATACAGTAAGTACAGTTGTATGCAGTAAAATCCTAGAGGCTACTGTCCCTTTAAATGTCACACAAGCAGAGACATGCGCTGATTGGCTGCAGAAAGTTTAACGTGCGGATAGTGCACGCATATTTGTTAACATCACTGGGTGAGTAATGTTAAACGTGCTCTCTCTCTCACTGTACGCTCATTAATCTGAATTGCTTAGCAGCCTGTGTGTATGCATGGTTTGACCATCGTACTCAGAAATAATTATTTTTACCGCAATAGACAAATTTAACCATGGTAAAATGATATCCCTTTTACCCAATCAGAGACCTTGTTACACATAATTTAACCACGGATAAAATTTTTTACCGCTGTTTAATTATCACTTTATACCCAACCAAAAGCCGTGTTACATATCACTATATCATATCAACAGCTCTTTCTAAATATAGCGAGTTGCTTAACATCAAATAGGATATACAACTTACCCGCGATAAAAATAATTTATCCGCAGTTTGATTATGTATAACAAGGCCTCTGATTAGGTAAAACAGCTATAATTTCACCAAAGTTAAATTATTTTTACTGTAGTAAAATTAATTACTTCTGAGTACGATGGCCAACCAATATGCGTGCACATCTATATGTACATTCAACTTTTTGCAGCCAATCAGCACAGCCGCTAATGGTTTGCCCGTGACTGTCTTTGCTTGTGTAACATGCAAAACATCATTTTGCTATAACATTTGAAGAATTTCTGTGATTTGAGTGCATTTTGGCAAGCCGATTATCAAAAATGGCTGGTGTAGCTTGTTAAGCAGTTTTCCGCGATACCAATAATAATTGAAAAGGGGCATCACCTGCAGGAACACAAAAGTTGAAGGTGATAGCAAACAGTGAGTAAAGTGAAGCTTGGTGGGGAGTTACCTACCACGGCATTATATACACACGGAGGACTTGATCCCGCTGCCAATGGTGCTGCGTACAAAACCCCACTGATACTTATAACTGCCAGCACTGGCGCCCACAGGTCTTAAGAAAGTAGAAGCACAGAAGGATAAAATCCTCAGTGATAATTAGAAGCAAGCGCCGTAGGCGCGCTGCATGCTAGGGGGGTCTGGGGGCCTGCCCCCCTGAAAATTTGACGTCTGGAGATGCAATCTGGTGAGTCTTGCGAAAGAGATTTAGGAACAAAATTGTTTAACCCAAAATTTACTGGAAGCATTGTGCTTCCAGTGCTTCTATCTGTGGGCGCCACTGACTGCCAGTGATGGCGTTTCTCCCCATGACTCTATATACCGAATACTAAGAGCATTGGTCAAGCCGTTTGCATTTGTGCCAAAATTTCGCATTTCCCAAATGCTGGTCCTATACCTTGACTTGAGGGGGGAATATTCCCCCTTCCTTACCCTTTCTAAACTTTGACCCTTGACCCCCCTGATTCCCCCCATTGGAATTCCCTCCCCCTACACACACATCCCGAATATCAACATCATACGTCAAGCCGTTTAGATTTGTGCCCTTATTGTTTATAAATGGGCAGACGGACGGACGCTCATGCCATTCTACAAGCTGCATTTGACTTCATCAAATGAGCTAAAAATTAGTAATACGTGGTGATAAATATCACAACTTGCATGCACTCTCAAATAAAAAAGCACAGACCTCTGTATCATCCTCATCTTTTCCAAGGTCAGTGTTGTTGATGAGAATGGATTTCTCAGATAACCACTGCTCTGTTTCTTTTGCTCTCATAAAAAACTAAATAAAACAGAATGAGCTGGTTATATGTTCACTGTTCATTGGAATACATATGTGACAGATTTAGGCAGGAAATCACGTTTATATATAATTTGTGCAGTTTGTAAAATGAAAGAAAAAGTTCATATTATTATACAAAATGATCACTAAACATTTAGAAAACAAAATGTTTCAATAATGAGACAAGAGCCGCAGAGCGTCTGGGCTCATCTGGGGTCTGTTGCTACGGTTATGAACGTACAATTTCAGTCGTGCGTAGTGACACATTTGTTAGGCGCAGATATGCAGATACGCAGTTGCGTACATATCATTGTTAGGACACGCTCACTATCTCCCCCATGCGATTTTGGTTTATTTTATTAAATGATACTTGCCTTTCACTTCGAATTTGTGTCATAGATTCACAGCTATCTATTTTTATCTATCTATAAAAGATTTCAACATATGAGCATGGATCTCCAAGTTTAATTAGAGGGGGCGGGGAGTCCTTCTCTCCCACCTCCCTCCCCACTGCGTCCCACCTCCCTCCCCCTGCCTCCCACTTCACTCCTCTTGCCTCTCACTTCCACCCCCTTACCTCCCATCTCCCTCCCCCTGCCTTCGACCTCCCTCCCCCTGCCTCCCACCTCCCATCCCCTTGCACACCATCTCGCACGACCTAATTGTACCCCGTTTCCTGCTCGCATACACACCGTATCACCGTTTTCCTGTCCCCGTCTCAATTTACTACTCTCTCTCTCTCTTTATCTTTATCTTAGACTTTCTCTCTCTCTATCTCTCTCTCTCTCTCTCTCTCTCTCTCTCTCTCTCTCTCTCTCTCCTCTTCTTCCCTCTCCCTTCTTCTCCGCCCTTCCTCCCTCCCTTCTCGCCTCCCTCCTCCTCCCTCCCCTATCCATCTGCTGCCTTGTGTGTGTCTCTCTCTCTGCTCTCTCTCTCTCTCTCTCTCTGCCTCTTCTCCTCTCGTCTCTCGTCTCTGCTCTCGTCTCTCTCTCTCTCTCTCTCTCTCTCTCTCTCTCTCTCTCTCTCTCTCTCTCTCTCTCTCTCTCTCTCTCTCTCCCTCTCTCCCTCTCTCCCTCTCTCCCTCCCTTCCTCCCTCCCTTCCTCCCTCCCTACCCTCGCCTCCCTGCCCCTCTATCATCTGGTGTGGTGTGCTCTCTCTCTCTCTCTGCTCTCTCTCTCTCTCTCTCTCTCTCTCTCTCTCTCTCTCTCTCTGCTCTCTCTCTCTCTCTCTCTGCCTCTCTCTCTCTCTTCTCTCTCTCTCTCTCTCTCTTTCTCTTCCCTCTCTCTCTCTCTTTGTCTTCTCTTTGTTTCTCTTTCTCTCTTTCTTCTCCCTCTCTCTCTTCTTTATATCTTGTATATTTTTGCTTCAGTCTGTAAAAAAGCGGGGCGGCCAGAAATCTCCTGAACAACACGAGCCCTATTGAGAGCGTGATGTCGACTGCCGCTGAGCACCTGCTGTCCGCCAGCCAGCACTTTGCATCAGATGACGTGCAGGACATCTGAACACGCTGCTCACTTCTGTCTGCAGCGTGAAGGAAAGCTCGCTGATAGGACCAGAGGAGATTCTCGATGCCTGTTGAGTCGCAAAACTGTGAGCAGGTTTTTCTCGCTGGCCCGATTTGATGATTGGTCAGTGGTGCTTTCATGATTAGTGCTGGTATGACATGCAAGCTAACAGAGACGTACTGATCATATACAACTCTTGGCAGATGCCAATCGTTTCTCATTTGTAATGTGATGCTCTTCAGTCGTGCGCATGTTAATTGTGATTGATGTTGCATGTATGCATGCTAATGAGAGCATTTTCTTCTATAACTGTGCGATTAATTCCCCCATGTCACAGCGTACGCGCTATTACTACATTTTTTGTAATTGCAGTTGCTTTAAAACTGTGCTTGCAAATAATTGCATGAAGCAATATATCATTCTGGCATTTTCATTAAAATAGTATGCTAACTGGTTAACTATATTTTACGGTGTACAAAACGGGAATTTTCTTGACCTGTGGTTGACGTTTATATATAGTTAAACAATAGAAACGAGAAAGTTTGTTGTTTCTTCATTAGTGTATATATATATTATATATATATTCATGCTGTCGAACTTGTATAGCTGTGATGTTTTTAAGCACTGTCATTATGGCAAGTGTTATTAATTGCTTCATGCCATATGCTCACATACAGTTATTTTGCATACAGTGCCAAAATTGAGATTTTCGTATTACAAATGTGGTTTTTTAGCTCATCGGACATAGTCAGATGCAGCTTGTTAAATCGCATGATGCGTTCGTCCGTGCGAGCCGGTCCGTCCGTCCGTCCGTCTTGTGCAACAGCCTTTGGGCACAAATCTAAAGCGGCTCGACGTACCGTCACGATATTCGGGACGTGTGGGGGGGGTATCCGTAAAACGAGTTGGATATGTCGAAAGCCTGGGGGGTCAAGCGTCAAAGGTCAAGAGGTGTAAGAAAGAAGGGAACATTCCTCCCTTAACTTAAGGTATGGAGGAAATGCAGAATTGCGGCACAAATCTAAACGCGCTCGACCTAGGCCTCGTCGATAGTCGGTGTATAGCATCAATGGTATAAAAGCACATCACTGTGCCGAAATTGCGAGGGTACAGGTCAAAGGGTCAATGGGGCACAGGCAGATTTTTTAGACATTTTTCTGAGAGACATGGATCTGACGGAGCGATTGAAAACTTGTTTGTCAAGCGGTGACCTAGCGATTTTATGGCTTTATGAGAAGGGAGCCATGGAAAATATGCTTTCCACTGACATGCCGAAGAGTAAAGTGTCGGGATAACCTTTGACCCTTCAAGAGGAGGGTAAACATTGATTTGGTTGACTGTTAAACAAAGGGGGACTGAAGACTGCTTTTGCTTATTATTTAGAGCCCATACTGTGTCAATGTGAGGGGCTACAGTTGCACAGTTTAATTGCCCAAAGGCAAATGTTGTTAACAAGGTTTACGCTCTTAAATCATATTATTTTCTAAAGCAGTCTGTCTATAGCCACCCTGCCCCTGGCCTGAAGGCTGAATGATTGAATCAGTGAATCGGCTCACAATGACGGGCAAAAAAACACGGGCAGCCCAATGGCCTGGCCAGCCAACCTGCAATGCACGTGTTAGACGCACAGCTGAGCAAATTATGCCTGCCTGAATCAACTTACTTGGATTTTAGCCTGCACCTTACTGGTAGGATTTCAGCGAACTCACCACGCGAGCCTAGCAAGTGCCGGCTAGAGGGCGATGCCATCTTTGATTATTGATTACACTTGACACGCGCCATCTTCGCTGGCAACTATAGGCTGTTTAAATTAGATTTATTCTCATGTAACTTTGTTAACGAATAAATAATAACTAGTACCATATGATTATATAATATTTACTTTTCATCTTGATTAACATAATGATCATGTAGCTATGGCCATTACCAGCTTATTGCGGAACATAACTGTTACCATAGAAATATTAAGAGACACTATATACTATATTATTATTTCTATGACTGTTACACGTCAGCGGGGCCATTAGGAACAAAGTATTATTGGACTGGGGCAGTAAAAGGCATCATCGCTGGGTTTTAAATTTTTTTATATAATTAATGAGAGAGGAGAGAAAATCTAGATAAAGAGAGAGCATGAGAGTGTAAATTGAGATGGGGACAGGGAAAACGTGATACGGTGTGTATGCGAGCGCGAAACGGGCGTACAATTAGGTCGTGCGAGATTTGTGTGCAAGGGATGGAGGTGGAGCAGGGGAGGGAGGTCGAAGCAGGGGGAAGAGGAGGGCGCAACGGGGAGGGTGGCAAGTCTGAGAGGCAAGGGGAGTGAAGTGGAGGCAGGGGGAGGAGGGCGTCGAGTGGGGAGGGA